AGAGTTGAAAACTCATGTCCACACAAAAACCTGCACATGGAGATAGCAGCTTCATTCAGAACTGCCAAAATTGGAAGCAACCAAGACGTCCTTCAGGAACTGAACAGAAAAATAAACAGCGGTGCATCCAGACAATGGAATTCAGCGTTAAAAAGAAATGAGCTGTCAAGCCATGAAAAGACATGGAAGAAACTTAAATGCATATCACTACGTGAAAGAAGCCAATCTGAAGAGGCTACATATGGTATCATTCCAACTATATGACATTCTGCCAAAGGCAAAACTATGGAGATAGTAAAAAGTGTTGTCTAAGGGTGGGGAGAAGGGAGGGATGAATCAATGGAACAGGGAGGATTTTTAGGGCAGTGAAAATATGATGTACCTTACTACAATGATGGATACCATCATTATACATTTGTCCAAATCCACAGAATGTACAACACCAAGCATGAACCCTTATCCCTTATGTAAACTATGGAATTTGATTTGCTGCTGCTGCTGTGTCAATGTAGGTTCATCAACTGTAACAAATGCACCGCTCTGGTGGGGGAGGTTGATGGTGGGGGAGGCTGTGCATGTGGGAATAGGGGGTATATGGGAACTCTCTGTACCTTTCTCTCAATTTTGCAGTGAATCTAAAACTGCTTAAAAAATAAAATCTGGCTAGGCTCGGTGGCTCAGGCCTGCAATCCCAGCACTTTCAGAGGCCAAGGTGGGCGGATCACGAGGTAAGGAGATCGAGACCATCCTGGCCAACATGGTGAAACCCTGTCTCTACTAAAAATACAACAAAAAATTAGCTGGGTGTGGGGGCACATGCCTGTAATCCCAGCTACTCAGGAGGCTGAGGCAGGAGAATGGCTTAAACCAGGGAGTCGGATGTAGTGAGCTGAGATCACGACACTGCACTCCAGCCTGGTGACAGAGTGAGACTCCATCTCAAAAAAAAAGAAAAAAATAATCTTAGGGTTACAACCTTTTACTGGGCAGTGATATCAACTTGCCAACTGGGACTAGTGTTAAAAATAAATGAAACAGGGTTGGCCGTCGTGGCTGACTCCTGTAATCCCAGCACTTTGGGAGGCTGAGGCGGGTGAATCACCTGAGGTCAAGAGTTTGAGAGCAAGCCTGGCCAACATGGTGAAACCCAGTCTCTACTAAAAATACAAAAATTAGCAGCACATGGTGGCGGGCACCTGTAATCCCAGCTACCTGGTAGGCTGAGACAGGAGAATCGCTTGAACCCAAGAGGCAGAGGTTGCAGTGAGCTGAGATTGTACCACTGCACTCCAACCTCGGCAGCAGAGCAAGACTCCATCTCAAAAACAAATCAAATCAAAACAAAACAAAACAAAACACAGCCAATCTCAAAGCCCTCCTGCTCTCAGGCACTAATGTATAATGTTCCTTTTGTCAGAAACCAACCCCTGATTAACAATTTCTCCCTAGATTAACAATTTCTTATTCTTTCGGTCTTAGCTCAATTCCTACCCCTCCTCACACTGGAACAAATAGCCCTTTACAACCTGTGGAAACACTTACCTTTCCTGCATAGTACTAATCACATGGGTAATTTTTTTTACAGCTCTACTGAGGTATAATTTACGTTACCATAAAATTCACCCCCTGTAAGTGTAAAAGTCAATGACTATTTTTGTAAATGTATCTAAAGTTGCCACAACACTACACCCCAGTTTTAGAACATTTCTCTCACTCCCCCAAACTCCCATGAGCGAATCTGCAAACAATCTGTTTCCACTCACATTTTTGTTGTAGTTGTTCTGTTTTTGAGATTCAGTCTCACTCTGTCACCCACGCTGGCGTGCAGTGGCGCGATCTAGGCTCACCGTAACCTCTGCTGTGAGGTTCAAGGAATTCTCATACCTCAGTCTCCTGAGTAGCTGGAATCACAGGGGTGTACCACCATGCCTGGCTAATTTTTGTGTTTTTAGGAGAGACAGGATTTGCTAATTTTTGTGTTTTTAGAAGAGACGGGATTTCACCATGTTGCCCAGACTGGTCTCAAATTGCTGGGCTCAAGTGATCCACCTGCCTTGGCCTCCCAAAATACTGGGATTATAGGCATGAGCCACGGACCCTGGCCTCTACTCACATTTAACTTTCCTGGATAGTTCACAGAAATGGGATCATGCAGGACGTAATCGTTGGCATCTAACTTTTTGCTTAGCACAGTGGTTTTCAACCTGGGGCCACTTTGCCCCCAGAAGACTTTTGGCAATAATCAGGAAATGCACTTGCTTATTACAACTGAGAGAGGCTACTACTGGCATCTTGTGGGTAGAGGTTCGTGTTATTGCTAAACATCTTACAATTGGCAGGATAGTCCCCCGCAACAAAGAATTATTGTGCTCAAAATGTCAACAGAGCTAAGGTTGAAAAATCTTGACTTTTGCTTTTTCCAAAGATAGGGTCTTACTCTGTCACCCAGGCTGGAGTGCAGTGGTGCAATCATGGTTCACTGCAGCCTTGACCTCCCTGGGCTCAGGTGATCTGCCCACCTCAGCCTCCTGAATAGTTGAGACTACAGGCACATGCTACCACATCCAGTTAATATTTGTATTTTTTGTAAAGAGGGGGTCTCACTTTGTTGTCAGGCTGATCTCAAACTCCTAGGCTCAAACAATCCTCTTGCCTTGGCCTCCCAAATTGTTGGGATTACAGACGTGAGCCACTGGGCCAAAAACCCTTAACTTAACATGTTTTCAGGTTCATCCAGGTTACAGCAATAATTAGTATTTTGTTCCTGAATGGTATTTTATTGCTGAATAATATTCCATTCTATGGAAATAACACAAGTTGTTTATCCATTCACCTGTTGATGACATTTGGTTTGTTTCCAGTTTGGGGCTACTAAGGGTGATGTTGCTAAGAACATTTATATTTGAGTCTTTCTGGGAACATATGTTTTCACTTGGTGGGGGTACATTCCTACAGAGACCAGCGTGGCCATACAGACCCCCACCCAGGCAGTGCTAAAGGCATTAAGAAGCAGACACCCAGAAAGAACAGCAAAGTGGGACTATCCTGGGACCAACAGCTTTCAGAGCTGAGAACCTCAGGTGCTGACAGCATTCCAGGCTGAGGGCCTCAAGCAGATTCTGACTCACATAGTTATTCTCTCTGAATAGGTGATTATTATTAACAAACAGGTGTTCTGTGTTTTCTCATAGAACAAAAATAAAGTAGGTAGGCACCTGGTGCCTGCTCACCACTGATCACAGACAAACCAGAAAGCATCCTCTACGAGGGAGCCACAGGGGCAGGGTCACCTCTCTCGCGCTTAAAGATTTATTTTAAGTGGTGTATGATATACAAATACTGTCTTGCTACTTTAGAGTGCCCCAAGTAGTTTTCCACTTGGGGGGGGGGCACGGCTAGGTTTTCCTTGCCATCATTCTTCTTAGCAAACAATATATTTATCATACAGTCAGCATTTCTCAACATATTCCTGAGTGGAATTGCTAGGTTATATGTTAGTTTATTTATTTTTGAGACAGGGTCTCACTCTCTTCCAGACTGGAGTGTTAGTGGTGTGATCTTGGCTCACCACAACCTCCACCTCCCAAGTTCAAGTGATTTTCCTGCCTCAGCCCCTTAAGTATCTGGGATTACAGGGGCCTGCCAGCATGCCCAGCTAATTTTCTTATTTTTAGTAGAGACGGGGTGTCACCATGTTGGCCGGAATGGTATCGATCTCCTGACCTCATGATCCGCCCACCTGGACCTCCCAAAGTGCTGGGATTACAGGCGTGAGCCACCACGCCGGGCTGAGATCACATCTTAAGGACCAGAATGGGGAGTTAAATTACAAAGTTAGGACAAAAGGTAAAAGTGGTATAATAAAAATTACTTTATATATTTATTTATTTATGAGACGGAGTCCCGCTCTGTCGCCCAGGCTGGAGTGCGATGGCACGATCTCGGCTCACTGCAACCTTGGTCTCCCGGGTTTAAGCGATTCTCGTGCCTCAGCCTCCCGTGTAACTAGGATTACAGGTGTGCCACCACGCCCAGCTAATTTTTGGATTTTCAGTAGAGATGGGGTTTCACCATATTGGCCAGGCTGGTCTCGAGCTCCTGACCTCAAGGGATCCGCCCGCCTCAGCCTCACAAAGTGCTGGAATTACAGGCGTGAGCCACCGCGCTCCGCCAAAAACAACACAAAACCTGATTTAAACACTGAATTGAGATGCATGCTCACCGAGGAACGTATGGCCGTTGGGTGGAATGGCAGGGGACTTAGAAACTTCCCTCCAACTTGTTTGATTTGAAATAAGTTAACTACGATGTGACTCTGCTGGACTGGTGTCCTCCTCGTTTTAGGGATGGGGGAGTGGGGCCTTGAAGTGGGCTGGAAGAAAGGGCAGAATGGAGGCCGGCTCCCTGCAGGCTGTGGAGTGAGAGGTTTAGACTTAGGCTGGGGCCGAGGAACAGGGTCCTGAAGCTGAGACGGGATCGCAGCGAGGGCCACTGATTCCTCAGGGAGCCAAAGGGCAGCGAGCTGAAGCCCATTCCACATCTCCCCCGATCCGCGACCCTTCCCTACCTGGTTACTCACCTGCACTGAAGGCTCCAGGTTTCCCTAGCCACAGTTATCGCAGCGGTCCCTGCGTTGCTAGGTTACTTGCCAATCTCAGAAGGCGGGACTTGGCGTCTGACTGACCTTTCTTTTCACCACTCAATTCCTTGTTCCGCTCAGTTGTCCCCACCTCCTGAAGCCTGACCAATCAGAAGCACCATCATTTTGACCTTTCACCAATGGAAAGACTGGGGACTCCCTCTGGGTTGCCCTCAAAGAGTAAGGCGGGGCAGATGGGAGGAGAAAGGGGCGTGGATTATTCGTCCCGCCCCTTCTTAAGGAGGCGGGCAGGGAGTACTGCATCGGCAGCGGGCGAGACCTGCGGAAGGACGTGAGATATGACCAATCAGAACTCATCATGGTATCCCAGTTAGCCAGTAGGTCGCTGTCAAGGGGAAAGGGGCGGAGCCAGCGGGGTTGAGAGGACGGTAGGCGGCGGATGGGAGAGCTGGCGCAGCTGCCGTGGTGGCAGTGGCTGAAGTAGGTGCAGCTGCGGCTGCTGCAACAGCTTCGGGCTCGGGGTTTTGGCGGCGGCGCCGGAGGGCTGGGCTGCGCGGTGCGGACCCCGGCGCATGGTTCGGGTTGCTGGGGCGGCGCGTGTAAGAATCCGAGGGATGCGAGGGCTTGGCCCGAGGGAGAGGGCAGGGACCAGGGGTCAGAGGGCTCGGAGTAAGGGGTTGTGGAGCGGCACTCTGGTGTGGGAGGTGGGCTGGAAGGGCCCGGAGGGGCCGCGGGGAAGGCTTCGGCGCTCTTCTCTCCGTCCAGCCCGGGCGGGGGCTTTGCACCCACTTTCTTCGCCCCGAACTTCTTGGGACGACCCTCACGTGGGCGTCCAGCCAGGGTGTGGGAGCACGTGGAGCTGGAGCCGGCGCTCCTGCCTCCTCCTTCCTCCCTCCCTCGCCCTTCTCCCTGGCGCCCTCAGGTGACCCCGCAGGAGTCTAGTGCCCGGGTCAGCTGCCCCAGCGGACAGCGGGATGGCAGCTGGCCCTCTCTTCCCCTGGGCCCTTTCCCCAGGGTTGGCCATTTGGGTTCTCTCTAGAGCCGGAAGCAAAGCCCGCGAAGGGAACACTGGACCGGGACTCAGGAGTCCCGGGTTCTAGCCCTGCTTCTGCACTGTGTGACCTTGGGCAAGTCTCTTCCCCTCTCTGGGCCTCATTTTAGTCTCCCTGGAAAAATGATGTGTTTGAATTCAAAAATCGGGGGACTGGTTCTAGTCGTAGGTGTATATAGAGTAATGGTTAAGCAGGGAGAGTTCCTGAATTCGGACTGCCTGTATTGAAACTTAAAAGAGGCAAGTTAATCACTCCAAGCTTCAATTTCCTCATTTGTAAAGTGGGAATACAGGCTGAGATAGGATTTTTCAACAGCAGCTCAGTTGACATTTTGAGCCACGTAATTCTTTGTTTCTGGAGGTCTCACCTGTGCATTGTAGCACATTCAGTGGCATCCCCAGACTTCACCCACCAGCAATTCCCCCACTCCCAAGCTGTGACAGTCAAAGATGTCTTCAGACACTGCTGATGTCCCTGTGAGGGCAAAAATCACCCCAGTTGAAGCCAATGAACAAAGACAATACAGGCAGACAAGCAGTCATATATTAAACAGTTAAACAACCATGTCCAACCCTCTGAATTGGAGGACTTCTTTGCTTATCTGTGTGGCAGATATGAAAATTATGCACGAACCCCACCCCCCACGCCTCTTTTTCTTGTTTGTTTGTTTAGCTCATTGTTAGTGTATTTTATGTGTGGCCCAAGACAGTTCTTCCAGTGTGGCCCAGGGTAGCTAAAAGGTTGGACAGCAGTGAGTTAAAACATAGAAACCGCTAGCCATTATGATAATGGTAACATTAAGAAACCTCTTCTCTGTGAGTTAATAAATTCTCCTGCCTTCAAAGTAAATATGGGAGAGAATTGTCAAAGCTGAGTAATGGATACAGGGAAGTTTAAGTATTGAGTATGTTTGAAAATATCTGTGGTAAAAAGTTAAACCAAAAAGATACAACTGTAATTCTTATGACTGCCAAATAGTAGCGTTTCATCTGTGATTTCCCCTTCTGCCTCTCTACTGCTGAGACTTTTAAAAGCAAAATAAATCCCCAGATCTGGAGGAAACTTAAAAAAAAAAAAAAACTCACAGGAAGTGTGCTGGGCACAGAGCTGCGGAGCTTAGCAGCAAGTAGAACGGTGTTTACTTTTGCTGCCTTGTTTTAAAAAGATGTACCGCTCTCTGTGGATGCACAAGGCTTTGGTCGGAGTTGTTCCAATGATTCGCGGAAGTCAGTTGCCCAGTTGCAATTGACTAGGTCAGTTAGGAGGCAAAGTAGGTTGAGCCCAGAGCCCACAGCTTGAGGAAGGAACCTGCTACTGTTTGCAAGTTCAAAGGTCTGTGGTCAGATCTGCTGAGTCTTTTTTTTGTTTGGTCCTCAGCGGAAATGGGAATGTGCATAAATAGGAGCTGTAACAGGCTAGCTCAGAGTGTTTTACTTATTTATTTTTAAATTTTTAATTTATTTATTTTTTGAGACGGAGTCTTGCTCTGTTGCCCAGGTTGGAGTGCAGTGGAACGATCGTCTCACTGCAACCTCCGCTTCCTGGGTTCAAGTAATTCTCCTGCCTCAGCCTCCCTAGTAGCTGGGATTACTGGCAGGTGCCACCACACCTGGCTAATTTCTATATTTTTAGTAGAGACCAGGTTTCAGTATGTTGGCCAGGCTGGCCTCAAACTCCTGACTTCAAGTGATCCACCCACCTCAGCCTCTCAGAGTGCTGGGATTACAGGCGTGAGCCACCGTGCCTGGCTGCTCTGAATGTTTTATTTTTTTATTTTTATTTTTTGAGATGGAGTCTTGCACTGTCACCCAGACTGGAGTGCAGTGGCGCAATCTTGACTCACTGCACTCTCTGCCTCCTGAGTTCAGGCTGTTCTCCTGCCTCAGCCTCCCAAGTAGCTGGTACAGGCATGTGCTACCATGCCTGGCTAATTTTTGTATTTTTAGTAGAGATGGGGTTTCACCATGTTGGCCAGGCTGGTCTTGAACTCCTAACCTCAAGTGATCCATCCACCTCCATCTCCCAAAGTGCTGGGATTACAGGCGTGAGTCACTGTGCCTGGCTGTTCTGAGTGTTTTAAATTTGGAGTTAAGGATGAGCACTTTTACTGTATTAAAACACACTCATCATTTGAATACACTTGTCGTGCCCTTCCTCAGACAATCTAAGAGAACAACTCCTATGTAAGAATAATACAAATGATACAAAAATGATACATTTTGGAAGTATGTTTCTAATTGTTCCTGAGAGGCTGTTTGGTAAAGCTAAAGTGAAAGATGTATTATTTTAAATCTGTATTTTCAGGCAAGTATATATTGGTGATTGACGCTAGGAGTTACCTAAATACACAGTCCAGACTTCGAGGAATTCTAGTGTAATGGCTAAGAATACAGGTTTGGAGTCAGACCGTATAGTTGAAAGCTTGGCTCTTTTTAGCTGTGTGGGTCCTTGGGCAGGATGCTTAACCTCTCTTTGCCTGAAGCATCTGCCACCCCCATTCTGTAACAGGGAGATAATAAGCCCACCTATCTCATGAGGTTATTATGAATTTTCAGTTAACTTTAACTTACGGAGTGCTAGTAGGGTCCCTCATTCATAGTAAGCACTCACTGAGTATTCACTGTTACTTTAATTGTTGTATTTTTTTGTCATTTTATTTTATTATTTATTTATTTGAGATGAAGTCTGGCCCTGTCGCCCAGGCTGCAGTACAGTGGTGTGATCTCGGCTCACGGCAAACTTTGCCTCCCAGGTTCAAGTTCAAGCGATTCTCCTGCCTCAACCTCCTGTGTAGCTGGAATTAGAGGTGCCTACCACCACACTCAGCTAATTTTTATATTTTTAGTAGAGACAGGGTTTCACCATGTTGGCCAGGCTGGTCTCAAACTCCTACCTCAGGTGAACCGCCTGTCTCAGCCTTCCAAAGTGCTGGGATTACAGGCGTGAGCCACCGCACCCGGCCTTTTATTTTATTTTTTTAGAGACAGGGTTTCACTCTGTTGCCCAGGCTGGACTGCAGTGGTGTGATCATAGCTCACTTTAACCTCCGGCTCCTGGGCTCAAGTGTTTCCCCCACCTCAGCCTCCTAAGTAGCTAGGCCTGCAGGTGCATGCTATCATGCCCAGCTAATTTAAAAATTTTTATTTTGTAGAGATGGAGTCTTGCTACACTGCCCAGGCTGGTCTTGAACTGCTAAGCTCAAGCAATTCTCCCACCTTGACCTCCCAAAGTGCTGGGATTACAGGTGGGAGCCACTATGCCCAGCCTATTTTTTTCTTTAAAGTTGTTACAAAACTTACAAATAAAGAGAAGTGGAGGTAGAACATATGAGCCCTAATCTCACTCTCCAGACAGAATTATCCTTGACTTTTCTGTATTTGTTCTTACAGCATTCCCCTCCTCCATATTTTAATGCTATTATACTGTAATAATTCTTTTATTTTATTTTTTCTATAATTCTTTTTATTTATTTTTTTTTGAGTTGGAGTCTCACCCTGTCACCCAGTGTGGAGTGCAGTGGCTCCATCTTGGCTCACTGCAATCTCCACCTTCCAGTTCCAAGTGAGTGTCCTGCCTCAGCCTCCTGAGTGGCTGGGATTATCGGCGTGTGCCACCACGTCCGGCTAATTTTTGTATTTTTAGTAGAAACAGGATTTCACCATAATGGCCGGGCTGGTCTCAAACTCCTAATCTCGTGATCCGCCTGCCTCCCTAAGTGCTGGGATTACAGGTGTGAGCCAATGTGCCCAGCATAATTCTTTTATTTTTTCAGAGATGGTGTCTCACTCTGTTGCCCAGGCCAGAGTGCAGTGGTACAATCATAGCTCACTGTAGCCTTGAACTCCTGGGCTCAAGTGAGCCTTCCGAGTAGCTGAGACTACAGGTGCATGGCACCTGCCCAGCTAATTTTATTTATTTTTGTATTTTAAATATGCATTTTTTTTTCTGTGCGTATGCTTACGCAACTGGCTATTTAAAAAAATTTTGTTATAGAGATAGGTTCTTGCTATTCAGCTGGTCTCAAATTCCTGGCCTTAATCGATCTTCCCACCTCAGCCTTCCAAAATCCTGGGTTTACAGATATGAGGTACCCCAGTGGCCAGTTTTTTAAAATCGAGATATAATTTACCATTTTATTATTTATTTATTTGGAGACAGGGTCTCACTCTGTTACCCAGGCTGGAGTGCAGTGGTACGATCTCAGCTCACTGCAACCTCTACCTCCCGGGTTCAAGCTAGTTGTGTGCCTCCATTTCCCGAGTAGCTGGGATTACAGGTGCCCACCAACAAGCACAGGTATGTATTTTTAGTAGAGATGGGGTTTCGCTATGTTGGCCAGGCTGGTCTTGAACTCCTGGCTCAAGTGATCCACCTACCTCGGCCTCCCAAAGTGCTGGGATTGCAGGTGTGAGCCACCACACCTGGCTCTAATTCACCATTTCAAAGAGTATAAGTTAGTGGTTTTTATTCACAAGGTTGTGCAACCATTCACTACTAATTTCAGAATATATTAATCAGTCATGGCTGTTTTAATAATTATCTTTTTTTTTTAATTCTCAAACCCTAGAAGATGCCTCTCATGGAGGAGTTTCTGAGCAGCACCTCTGGTCCAGTGGCTTTGAAAGGGAGCTCAAACCAGAGAGTGTTTCAAGCCCTGGACATCACATCCTGAGGGCCACAGGAGAAGAGAACATGGCTGTGAGTTTGGATGACGACGTGCCCCTCATCCTGACCTTGGACGAGGGTGGCAGTGCCCCACTGGCTCCCTCCAACGGCCTGGGCCAAGAAGAGCTACCTAGGAAAAGTAAGATGGTGGGGAGCGCTGGAGGGACCCCAGTGATTCTGTTTCAGAGGCTGAGAGGTGATAAGTGTTTTGTGGTCTGATAGTAGGGGCGTGTAACTTGCTGCCTGGCTACATGTTTGAGCCCCAAATTCTGATACAGAAACTACTCCTGAGAGACTGTGGGTTTCTCCTTCCACACCCCCAGCTTGGCAGTGTTTCCAGGGGACTAGCTGCTGCTCTTCAAGCCCTCATTCCCTTTGCCACCTGCCTGCCTTGCACCTGAGGTAACTTGGCCTGCCTGCAGATGCTTGGCAGGGACCTCAGGCCAACCTGCTCTGGCTGCCTTCCCTGCCCCACTCCTTCTTAAGAAAAGAAACAGATTTCAATACCAGCCTCCGTCTGTCCCCATCTGAAACCACTGGCAGGAAACTGGCACTGCCTGCATCTCTTTGCTCCATCTCAGTCCCTCCTTGCCCAGGACAGCGGGGAAGAGGGCGAGTGTTTTGTCGTGATCCATTGATTTGAGGGTTTGGGGTTTTGCTTTGACTTCCTATGAACCAGAGCCTAGCACAAAGTGAACCCAAGTGCAGCAAGGAGCTTTAAATTTTTTAAATTTTAAGTGTGTTTCTGGCAGAATGAGAGGTCTTAAAAACCTTTCTGGTTCTCATCCCGAAGCCATTTGTCTCAGTTGCTCATGCCTTGGGCTCAGGAGAGGCTTAAAATAACTCGCCTTTTCTGGAGGGTCCTAAGACATCGGGAAGCAGTGCTTTAGGGTCTGCTTAGCAAATGCATGTTCCACATCTTCCAGTGCTCTACAGCCAGGGCAGAGGGGGAGTGTTCTTCTCCCATTCACAAGTGAAGATGTTTGGGGCTAGGGAGAGAAGAGCCAGGCTCTCCCATCTCCTTTGTCCAGGGAGAATGCAGTTGAGTTGCAGGGAGCTCAGCGGCCTCCCCTGGGAATTGATGAAGGAGAGCAGTGTTTCCAGGGATGTGAGTGTGGCGGGGAGCCCTTGCTTCCTAGAAACAGGCCTCTCTTTGCTTCTCCATGTTCACCCTCATCTGGGTGGCAGAGCTGGGTTGCTCAGGACGATTTGAACGTAAACCAGATTTTTCCCCAAGCACCACTCAGGGATGAAAAAGCAGTGGCTCTGATTTCAGACTATCTGTTTTCTTTCTGAAATACCTTTGCAAGGATAGGCAGTATTATCCCTATTTTACAGAGGAGGAAACTATGGGTCAGAGAGGGCAAGTAACTTGCCTGAAGTCACTCAGCCAGGAAATGGTTGAGCAGAGATTTGAACCCAGCATCATCTGACTCCAGAATTCCTTTTCCTTCTCCTCTTCCTTCTTTTCCTTCAGCTGCTCCTCCCTCTGCTTTTTTCTTCACTATCCTCAATAAACGTAAGCACAGGCCAGGCATGGTGGCGCCCATCTTTAATACTAGCCCTTTGGGATGCCAAGGCAGGAAGACCACTTGAGCCTAGTGATTTTGAGTTCAAGACCAACCTGGGCAACATAGTGAGACCTCAGTTGTACAGAACAATTAAAAACTTACCCAGGTATGGTGGTGCGTGCCTATAGCCCCAGCTACTCAGGAGGCTGAGGTAGGAGGATTGCTTGAACCCAGGAATTCAAGGTTGCTGTGGGCTGTGATTGCACCACTGCACTCCAGCCTGGGCAACAGAGCAAGACCCTGTCTCAAAAAAAAAAAAAAAAAAAAAAATGAGTACAGCAGGCCTTTAGCATTTATATTATCTCCTTATATAACCTCAATATAGAGTTGTTGTTATTATCTGTATTTTATAGAGGAAGAAACAAGCTCAGAGAGGTTAAGGAACTTGCCCAAGTTCACACATCTAGTAAGCAGTAAAGCCTGTCTGATCTTTCCTCCTGCACCACAGAGGAAGGTGCTTTGGGGAAGGGGTAAAAGTGAATGTGACTCAGCTTTAGAGAAGAATGCTGCCTAGTGAGGGTGTGGCTTGTGTCTGGAAATAGCCAGCTCAGGATTCTAAATGGGAATCCTAGCTGTCATCACAAGTGTCACTTTTAAGTCTCTCCAATGTGCCCAAACTGATGGTTGGGTGTCCAGCCTTCCTGTGGGATGAAAGGGGCAAGAGAGCAGCCCAGTCCTGTGTCAAGCTCAGGCTTTGAGTTGCTGATGGAGCTTGATGAATAGGAAATAGGCCAGAGACACAATAAGACTCCCCTTGGCTAGGCCACTAGTGATGCTGCTTTTATCTTGGCAAAGTCAGTGGCTTATTTTGGTTTGTTTCTTAAGAAATTTATCACTAACTGCTGGGGTCCGGGGACATTGTGTTTCCTGCACAGCACATTAGTATCTCAGTTTCCTCTCTCAGCTTCTTACTGGCTCTTTTTTAAAACCTCAATGAACTGGTGGGTGTAATTCTCCAAACCTGGCTGGGAATAAGGGTAGGACCTGTGCAAGTTAACAAGAGATTTCAGAGGAGGCCCGCTCTTCCTTAGCGTAGGCCTTTGATATTTTGTGCTTGGGTTTTGGCCTTGACCTTCTACCCCGACATTCTCCCTGTCCCTGCTGTCTGAGGAGCAGTCCTTCCTTCTGTCCTTTTTTTTGAGATGGAATCTTGCTCTGCTACCCAGGCTGGAGTGCGGTGGCACAATCCCGGCTCACTGCAACCTCCATCTCCTGGGTTCAAGTGATTCTCCTGCCTCAGCCTCCCAAGTAGCTGAGATTACAGGCATGAACCACCACACCAGGCTAATTTTTTTGTATTTTTAGTGGAGATGGGGTTTCACCATGTTGGCCAGGCTGGTCTCGAACTCCTGGCCTCGAGTAATCCACCTGCTTCAGCCTCCCAAAGTGCTGGGATTACAGATGTGAGCCACCATACCCAGCTAATTTTTTTTGTATTTTTAGTGGAGATGGGCAATTTCACCACATTGGCCAGGCTGCTCTTGAACTCCTGGTCTCAAGTGATCCACCTGCCTTGGCCTCCCAAAGTGCTGGGATTACAGGTGTGAGCCACTGTGCCCAGCCCTGAGCAGTCCATCTAAAACACAAGCCCAACCTGGTGGTTTCTCTGTTTTAAAGCTTCTCTTTACTCTCCCATCCAGCGGGGCTGGGGAGGGCAAGCTCTTCAGCTGGCAGAGGAAGCCTTGCCTGTTCTAGCACCTTCTTGCTTGACCGGTCGCATTTCCTGCCTCAGTCCACAGCATCATACCGCATTTAGTTCGGTGAATCCCCTATGCATTCTCAAACCCCTCCGCCTTGCTGGCAAGTCGGTCTGGAATGCCTTTCTCAGCCTCTTGTTTGCTTGTGGCCTCCAGTTCTGTCTTGAAAATCCTCCTGATAACACCATCTCTTTGAAGCCTTCACTGAACTTCCCCTTCCTGACAGCTAATTACTCACTACCCTTTTCTGCTTCGGTATCTTGATTAGGCTTCCATTATTACAAGTAGATTATGGTGGGGTAATTATATGTTTAACCATCTGATCACCTACTAGGCCCTGAGAGCCATTTATCTTTTTTTTTTTTTTTTGAGATTGAGTCTAACTCTGTTGCCTAGGCTGGAGTGCAGTGGCACCATCTCAGCTCACTGCACTCTCCGCCTCCCAGGTTCAAGTGATCCTCCCACCTCAGCAGCTGGGACTACAGCCATGTGCCACCATGCCTGGCTAATTTTTGTATTTCTAGTAGAGACGGGGTTTCACCGTGTTGGCCAGGCTGGTCTCAAACTCCTGACCTCGAGTGATCTGCCCACCTCGGCCTCCCAAATTGCTGGGATTACAAGTGTGAGCCACCATCCCTGACCCAGGATCCATTCATCTTTGTATCACATAGCTTAATGCCCACAATATGCAGGTACTCAACAAACCATGGTCAGAATCAACCTACATGGATTTCTGGGGCCTTGCAGCTCATGGGAGTGGCCGTGTGAGGGCCCCAGTCAGAGGTGGGCAGCCTCCCTTTTGTCTTTTTTCCCCACCATAGGTTTGAGTCCCATTGATCTCAGCACAGCTGAGTGTCCTAGTAGCTGCCATCATTGACCTTTGGCTGCTGTAAACTTTTGAGGCACTAAGGAGTTGGCAGAATGCAGATGGAGGCCCTCCGTGGAGTTGGCAGCGACATGAGCGTGGGCCACTGGGAACGAAGCAAGCTTTCTAAGGTTGAGTCGCCATCAAGCCTGGCTTTTGTTTTGGCCCAGCGGCCACTGAGGCCTTCTCGGCACTGTACCTCCACGCTCCATGTCTGTTTGGGCACCCCTAGCAAAACACCATGGACTGACGGCTTAACCAACAGAAATCTGATTTCTCAGGTCTGGAGGCTGGAAGTCTAAGACCAAGGTGTCAGCAAGTTTGGTTTCTTGCAAGACCTCTTTCCTTGGCTTGCAAATTGTCCTCTTCTGATAAGGACACCAGACCTATTGGATTAGGACTCACCCATATGACCTTATTTTACCTTAATCACCTTTAAAGGCCCTTTCTCCAAACACAGTCACATTCTGAGCTACTCGGAGTTAGGACTTCAGCCTATGAATTTGAGGGGGACACAGTTCAGGCCATCACACTCCTGCCCTTCCTCAGAGGCAGGGGCTGAGGAATCTGGCTGTGCTGCCTCTGACCTTTAACCCTGCAGGAAACTGGAGGGTTTGGGTTTTTCTCCTTACTTGGGCAAGAGTGGATTTAATCCAAGACTCAGACATCTTTGGGCTCTAAGAGCGGCTGCTGCGGTGCTAATGAATGAGTCACAGGCAGCACGGTGTCAGGTCGATAAAGGAGGCAGGTATGAGCAGAGGTATTTAAAGCCTGGAAACCAGGAATAACCTTGAAAACAGTCAGCAGGGCCACTGCTAGACAGAGTGTGGACAGACAGCCCACAGTCCACACCACATGGCAGGCGGTGGTCTCACCCACCGCGTTCAGGGAATCAGGACGTCTGGGGTGGGTAGACATACTGGGTAGTCCAAGGTATTTCCCAGGGTAGCTCTGGTTACACTCAGCTCTGCCTTCTCCCTGCCTTTAAAGCCAGCCACTGCCTAAG